TTATTATACCTCCTACCAACATAACGGCTGAAGGTTTGAAATTCTCTTTCGGACAATTCTTTACATTTAAAAACAATCACTCACCATCTTTCGCTTTGTCGGCTATATTATTCAAGCGTTGGTCAATAGTCGTATGATGCTTCACAAAGATTGGCTTGATGGCTCTTGAACAGAAAACGTAAAATTTCATGAAATACTCACAAAATCGCCGCAGCCACTTACTTGTGATAGATTTTAGTAGCACCCGTGGTGGACGGGAGATAGAGCCAGAGAAGGAAGAGGGATTTGAAAAGCCAATACACCGGGAATACGGCAACAATCTGGTGGGAGAAAAACTCGACAACGGAGAGGACAGCGAATACGACCCTAAAGTAGATAATAAATGCAAGAATAATGAAGCTTATAACAAATCCTGCATGTACACCCCATCTCCCGAAGATTTGGCGGGCATGGCTGCGTACTTCATCTCATTGTGGATGTGGCCGCGGTTTCGGTGCGATGCCACTTCGAGAAAATCTGTTACGATGTCTTTGGCCAGCATTAGACAGGACAGAGTTGTATTTAATGGGACTATCCCATGAAAACACACCTTAACCCATGGTCAAATGAAGTACGGAGTAATGCCCTTCCACCTATCGGTTATAAGTAAGCATCTACAATCTCGACGAGTCACCGAAAGAAAGAAATGGGGACAGGGTAAGGTTCCAGAAAGACGAATCCCCGATCAAGAATACATTGTGTTGAATAGTTACAGCGGAGATGTTCTGCTCACAAATGTGAAATAATGGAATGGAAGGAAGTGGCAAAAGTCCAATGAGCTGCACTGGAGTGAAAGGTCACACAGATCTAAAACATGGTGAAGTCAGTCCTTTGTTCGTTGCGGACGCTGGAGCGTGTCAGAGAGGGGGGACTGGGTTTGACGCAGCGCCAGCCTATTCTCCACGATTGGCGAAGCTGGCAGGCGACCACAACAGGTGGAAAACTTGCTGGCGTAGCACCAAACCCTGACATGCCCAGCGTCTATAGCGGCACAGTGTGGCCATTATTCGACCGGGAAAGCAGAGAAGAAACATTTTACCATTGGGTTGGTTTCGAGCCACTCACCCACCTATAGAATCGAACCATAAGAAATTATAATAAAGAAGAGGAAAGGAAAGAGTGAAAAATGTATGATGCTAGCCTAGTTAGACGACGCTACGCGGTAGTCCTTTCGCGTCCTTTGCCTAGACAAAGTTTAGGCACAGAGCGCAGGCGTCCAGAGTCAACGCAAGCTAAACTTCTCGAACCCTTCTTTTTATCGGCATGATGTTCTATAATCCCTGATTTTTTTTCACAGCGGCTCACCCATTTGTAGTCCCCTTTTAGCAAACCCATCCTTGGCTCGACATGCCCTCATTTGTACCTTTGAAAACGCGTTGCCACAGTGTATCCTCTAATCCGACCGTCACTTAGCTCGTGCTAATTCTCGGTCCGCTGCGCTTATTCCTAAGACATGGTTCGGCGGAAGTACGCTTAGGCGCTGTTCCCCTCAACTACGCTAGCATCGACAACAGCTAGGTACGAGAAAAGAAACGAGCTAAGTGAGAGCAAAACGATTAATAAGTACTTGTGGAAAGATGACTAAACATGAAAGAAATGATTGTTAAGGTAACATAAGCGAAGAAAAGAAAAGGAAAACATTTTTTAAAAAAAAAACTCCAAATTGTAGATAGTTTGCCCCTTCTTCAGTCTTTCCCAAATGCTTTCACCACAAATAAGGGAGATGACTTCATTTTCCTTACATAAAACACCATTAGTTAACGATGACCTCCTTTTCTTTAGGGTTAACGACCTGTCTTCCTTTTGCAATTCGCTTTTGTTCACGCCTATTTAAGATGATGGCATTCGTAAACTACCATGCCCCCCCATGTGATTGTTCCATGCGCGTGTTACACGCCATTACAACAAGTTGATGTGTACAAATGACTATCACGCGGCATTACTAGAACAAAACTTACCAGTAAGTAAGCCACTGAGTGTCGTCATCTTTCGTCGCTGTTTCGATGCCTTCTATGCTGGAAAAAACCCTTCTCAAAATGATAGTACCTGAGAAGCTTTAATAAATACTCACCTTACATAGGCCGGATAGATGAATCCCATGAAATTGCAAACAAGTTCGGCAAAATGGCCAAAAACCAAATAAAGAGCTTGCATGGCAGCCACCGCTGAAAAGAGATTTGGAACTTGTAGAATGTATAAGAGGTTCAGTGATGGAACAATCCCCTCAGATTTTCGATGTTTATATGCTGAAAGGCGAGGGAAAACTACTTGCACCCCTGCCTGACCGCTAAGTTGATCCAATTCTCTTAGGGCGCAGAATAGCTTCAGGCCCGCGTTCCTCCCGGGAAACGGTTTCGTTTGGAAAACGCTGTGCCCAACATAAAAAAGCACTGAAAGTCTATCACAAAAGGATGTTCAGAAACACCTGGAAAAAGACTAGGGCGAATCTTATGAGAAGCATATATACTGTGTATTTTGTATACACTTAAAGAATCCAAAGTGGCCGCCCGATACGAAGCATATTTAATATTTGATTAGCATATTATATTGTATATATTATTTCTGAACATACGGACAGGAAAACGATTCTCAGGTTTTCGGCGATCGCTTTTGCTCTATAAAAAATAGTACCACAGCAGAACCTAGTTCATGGAGCCATGGCGGAATCAAGCAAATTTGGGTGGCTTCGCGGACGGGGCGGGGGGGGGGAGCGTTTTGCACCTTCACTGCTTCTCTTCGTCGTATTGAGTGTAGAATTGCTAAATCTTGTGAATCCAGCTGATACGAATCAGTTCGTAGAAACTAATTGTCAACTTTAGTAAAGCACTGAACACGACAATGGGAACCGGTGAATGTGCAAGATGCACCCCTCCCTCTCCCGTCGCCGAAGTGCGCTTAAGTTCGTGATTAGGTTCACTTGTATTTTTATCATTCACCATTTCCATCGTCGAAATGGAATAAAACAAAAGTACAGATGAAAAAGCAGCACTGATTTCAGAGGAGAAGATCAGTGCTGCAAGTATTTTACTGAAAATCCCAGTTAACATTTCGATCTTTTTTTCGACTTTACGCTGGAATTGGATATGTGGTTTTATGATTGTATTACTATTACTATTGTCACTGCAACTGTGGTATACTATTGTAATTTGATGCCTGACGAAGGCATAAAATGCCGAAAGCTCACCAATAAAGCTATTTAACAATTCAAGAGATCCGAACAACACCATCAATATTTTTTGGTAAAATCTGAAATGGCGCATTTTTCATAGATGACTTTTAAATTGCCATAAATGTGCTGACGTTCATAAATGTGCTGACGTTAACCAAAGGGTCCAGGTGAACAAAAGATGACGCACCTTTGACGTCACATAATACGTTAATAGAACAGTGTATGGCATACATTAATGGTACGTTGCAACGTTTCACACGTCATCAACAATGAGGCAGATGGCACGATAAATCCTCCAAGACGAGCAGGACTAATACGCCTGGCAGGACGGAATTCCGCGACCCTGAGCAGGCGCTGCATAATGCCTTTTCCAGGGAAGGTGCCCTTATAAGGGCGCTATCAAGCCACAACTTTACGTCCCAAACGCCCCCTTGCCCGCCCCCAAATGGACGACTGTTCCAGACGCTCTAATTGATTCATTTGCTAAGCAAATTATGAAGCGAAGGCATTGGTATGAAGCGGCCGTGATGCTGCATGGATATATGAGTACACATATGCAGCCGTACCTTCGGTAGCGGTTATTGGTAAGATGCCTTCGGGAAACTCGTCCAAAATTGATTACTAACACAGTGAGAACGAGAGGCTCTTTTTCGCAGGATTTTGACTGTTTCACTCCGTCCTTCGCCATCTCTCCACTATATAGCGCCCTACTAGCATTTTAGGTCGAGCACCCAATCATCGTGCCAACTGCCTTTAAAGAAGTAGACATTTTTTGGAAAGAACGGCGGCGCGAACATAGTTGGAGGGGAGGAGGGTCACACTCCGATGCCTCTGACCTTGCTTCAAGAGGCAGCTTAGACTTAGAGCGCGTTCAGACTTCGCGCTACTGAGGGTGAAATTACTGCGGGAGGGGGTCATGTTCGTTCATGTTCAACTCAACTCAACAAACAACAACAACAAAGTTCTGGGAAGGGAGCGTACTAATATCACCATTTCTCACATCACAATGCTGTATCCTGCCTCCAATAGGCAGTTCCAAAAACGATATAAAAGTAAGTTCGACCTTTTTTGATGTCTTTTATTCCGTGTTCATATTCGCAATACTGACGTTTGCAGAAACCGTTGAAAGGAAAGGTTGTGTATAGACCTGGAGGATGGCAGAACAAACAAAGCAAACAATGTGACAAAAGTAAAGTGAATATCTGGAGAACTGGCAAAATCGGGGGAAGGGAGAGAAACAACATCCCCGCTTGAACGTACTCAGATGCAAAATTCAGTATAATAATTAGCATATTGTATATTTAGTACTATTTTACATAGGAAATAATAAATAACTCAAAGATATTTCGAAACGTTCCTTAAAATTAGGAGGGCGTTTACACAAAGGAAGAAAGAAGGAAAAAGAGAGAGAGAGAGAGCAGGATCAATAAACATATACGCACATAACCCCCTCCCGCAGTAATTTCACCCTCAGTAGCGCGATCGGATCGCGCGATCGCGAAGTCTGAACGCGCTCTAGTGAAGCTACGGTCTTCTGCTGCGGGACAACTCTGACCGTCACGGTCAACATGACGCTTTTTGGAAGGGATATCAGAGGCGGTCAGGTGTCCCCCTTCCCAACTCACCAACTAAGTGCCGAGACTACGAATACAGAAACGGGGTTGCTATTAACTATTAACGTATTGAGTGGCACGTAATCTCCTAGCTCTTGCACTCTTTCTCTCTGTAGATGAAATGGCGTGGTCCAGGCATTTATGAAGTTGGCGCCGCGTCAAACCCTATTTCTATTAGCTGTTGAAGCGAGCGAGTTAAAAGAGTGGCATATCGTTTGTATCAGTCGTTTTCCACCAGTTGTTGTTGGTTGCTCGCTTCAACAAGTGGTGGAGAATAGATCTGGCGCAGCGCCAAACCCATTCCGCCTGACAACCATTTCATCCGCAGTGGAGAACACTATGACAGGTCATGGACCCGGACACCTGCGGCCCAATATATTCCAAGGAACTACGTTTTGCGTGAGCCAAAAGTGTCGCTGCATGCTCCGCATCTGGAGGAAACTATATCATATTTGGATTGTCAAGTGCACATATATGTTTATTCGCCTTTATAATAATCGTTTCATATGATGGAAAGCACGTCAGGATAAAGTGAAAACTGTCCGGGACAAAACCGCACATAACTCATCGAAATGCAGTAAGCGTGTGCTCAAGACGATACATAGTACCGTGCTCTATGGTAAGTTCCTTTACTCAAGTGTTCAATCTAGACGGCTCTGATTTTCTGCTCGATCGTAGCCAGAAAAATTATTAAACTGGACCACTCATTTCGAAGTTGTTGAGTCTGGATCTAGCAATTCTTGTGTCCTAAATAATCTACTATCACACTGCATTTAAACATCAGTAGCTTTGTCTAGACATGTGGAGAAAATCTCATATAATCAAATCTACCTTAATAAGAGGTGAAGTCCTTGAGTTGCTATATAATTTGTTCACGAACAAGATTATCTTTCGATGCACCTGCTTTTGTACGACAGAATATCTGTTGCTGTGTTACAATAACTATACTGTGACTACCGAAATCTCCGTGTTCTTAGTGTAGGATGACTGAGCGCTACTAATACGTAGTAAAGAACCGAACCGTATAGACGTAAAAAACTCCGAGTTAGTTGCTGCTGACACAGCTGACTCAATTACAAAGTGACCTGAGAATGCTGAACGGAGAAGAAAGAAAAAACCTCCCTAGGAAACGGAAAAGCATACAAGACTGACGTTTACTGCTCGTTGAATACTGAAGACACAAGTATCTATAAGGTGCAGCCAAAGCATAGTTCCGCGAATCGCTTATTAAAAGCCTTCTCATTTGATAGTTTAAGGAAAAAATGATGGGGAAAACGCCGCATTCGGGCTAACTCGAGCTAGCCTTCAAGATCAAGGAAGCAGGCGCTGCATATCGACTTATGTTTAGTCCATCAACTCCTTTTGACTCCGACACTATCCAGACTCCGCCTCCAGAGACTGTCTCCAGCCATAATTTCTGCGCTAAAGCATATGGCGGTACAGCAGCGTTTAAGGACAACTCGGTGGGCTGCTGGACATAGCCAGCATGAAAGCGGGTGGAGACTGGTCCTCTCGGTTCGCTGTGCATCTACCCTCTCAGAGTTAGAGGAGGGTATAGGGCTTCATTGCAAGGACATCACCCATTTGAGCCTGTTTCAAGCGAACAGTGTTTTTCTCTTTTAACCCGATGCAATTATAGTGAGGTGGAGTCGGCCTCTATCAAAGGCACATCCGTTTCGTCCCCGTTTGGCTGATTCTCTTCTGGAATACTAGTGGATCTATACTTTAGAATTACATTGACGAGACTAGAAATACTTGGCGTATATACAGTCATACCTCTCGTAAGCCTTCGGACATAAAGTTGCTGACTGTCTCCTCTCATCTCCATGCGGCCCACCTGTAAGCGCCTGGTCTTTCGGTATGTTGGCGGAAGCTGTCCGCTCCATTGTCCCTCAGAAGCTGACCAGGTTTATACTAGCTAGTGATGGACAATATTTTTATATAGAGACGGTCGGGTCCCGGGGAAATGCTTTTACCCGCTCGCTACTGCTGAAAACTATCCCGCAGCTGCCAGTTTTCTTCTGCTGCTTTCTTTATGAGGAATTGAAGTTCGTCAGATTGCAGCGCCTAGAAAATTGCTAAACGGTTCCTTATTGCTTTTCTATTTGCTCTTTTTTATCTTGACATAGCCAGAATGATGCTCATGCATATCTACAATTGAAATTGCTATTATTTATTTATTTATTTACGTACTTATGCGTGATAACCGGCGCCTCAAACGAACAAGAGTAGCATTCACGAGATAAGAAGAATTAGTTTCCGAAGCAAACAATAAACCAAAACAAAATCCGAAACAAAATCCGAAAAAAACAAAAAAGAATTCGACTGCATTTCATTTTCTGGCAGTTACCCTAAGAGGTCGTGAAGAATCAATCAAAGCAGCTCTTAGTTGGTAGGAAAGTAGACGGAAGGGAAGGAGTCAGGAGAAGGAGTATTTTGGCCAAGATTGCCATCTAGACTATAAGGAAAGCAGAAGAAAGCTGCGTAGCCTAGATGACCGTAAGGGGTTGCTCACAAGGTACTAGCAACTAGTGATGAAGCTACTGTCCGCACCAGCTGCCCTTAGCGCCACATGAGGGGTCATGGGGTATGCCGGCACTTCGAGACACGGGTATATACCAGCAGCCCACGTGGAACCGGCATACTGGTCAGAAGCGACAAAACAAGGTTACTAGACCTAGAGCCTTGATCAGAGCAGACGTTGCAAGAAGATGAACTCCATGAGTAAAGAGGGAGTACTGAACAGAGAAACTGGATAATCTCCTCCTCCTGACCAACCAAGGGAAAGCAGAAGCAGGAAGTCTCAGGGCAACTGGTGAAGAAGTAAAAAACTATAACTATGTGATATCTGACGAAATCCCTCAACGAATAAAGGTGCTAGGAAAACAGAGCTGCCAAAAATTCTAACAGAATGAGCGTCCAACAGTGGATCGAAAAGAATAAATACATGAAGCTAAACGCTAGAGAGCTCTATGTGGGAGCCCTAACATCCAGCCAAGTCAGCATCAAGTTCCAGCTGTGGCTTATAGGCACCAGCGAAGGGAGTCTCCAGTGAAGAGCACGGCAGCTGCACACGGAAGGGAAGAACATTACTGAAAAGGAAACAGCCAAATCATGTCTTAGCGGTAATAAGCGTATCAGTGGTAACAGCAGCAGCTCCGGTACATTTTATAAGCTTCTTTTAATATGAAGCCAATGAAATGGTTTCAGTTTTTTGCGATGATTTTTGTTCGCAGGATAAGTGGACTAGATGATGTGCTCTGGCTATTTAGGATATTAGTTGTGTTCTTCGCTGGTGTAGCCTTTGGGCTCACAGTGAAAGGAAAACAGACTTGTCGTCAACCGTGCTCATTCTCATAATAGTATACTGAAGAACTATAAATTTCTAACGAACCTCTAAGTCCAGTTGAGATGTGATGTTTGATAATATTAGGTTGTCGCATAAGTTCTTATACACGTGTTTGATCCTCTCCTATTTCGTTCGCATGGATGTTGGTATTACGTCATCACGTGTGCGTGACGTGTACATTATACTCTTTCATTACACTAGCTATCACTCACCGAGCTTGCATTTGCAGTACACAATGTCGCACAATTACCACTGTGACAGAATGTACCTGCGCCACTGCCTGGTTTTGCTTCACGATTCACAAAAGAAGCTTCACTTTCTCAACTCGATGATCACTGGAGATGAGAAGTGGGTCCTCTACGATAACCCTGTGAGGAAGCGGCAGTGGGTCGACAAAGGAGAACAGCCAGAAGCCACCCCAAAGGCCGACCTTCACCCCAAGAAGGTTCTCCTGTCCTGTTGGTGGTCCAGAAGAGGCATGGAGTGCTGGAGAAGGGATAGACGATTGACGCGTCCACATAGTTACCCAGCTGCGCAAAGTGAAAGATCACGTCGACCGTACTCGTGGAAGGAATGC